AAAAAAATTAAGAAAAGTAATTCAGGCAAAAAAAAGCCAACGGATGCTAAAATTAGTGGGTAAAATTGAGACGAAAAATGGGATTCTACATAGCCTGAAAATATCTCCCCACAAAATAGTTATCAAAGGGGGAAAGCATGGAGGAGAAATGGTACAATGAACACCACCAGTGTCAGGGCAGACAGGCACTGCCCGCCACGCACGGTTTGAAAAGGAAAGAACACGGCCTCTGCGATGTTCTGGTACAAAAAAAAAAAAAAAAAAAAAATGTAACTGGGGTCTGATCAGGAGGGGATGCCAAACTCCATTTAAGGGGTGCTCTCCAAGATGGCTGGTCCATAATCGTTAAAAATGGCCAAGGCCATGAAAGTCAAAGAAACACTGAGACACGTTCCAGACTGAAGGTGACGAGAGGCCTGGGCTACGTGAGCTTGGGGAAGGGAAAGTCAAACCCAATGGAGGAGGAAAGCGAGCTTGGTACTGTTTTACATGTACCTCCACACACACGTGTGCACGCACCAGGAACTCAGCGGAGGGGCGCCTGAGTGGTTCGGTCGGTTAAGTGTCTGACTTTGGCTCAGGTCGTGAGCTCACGGTTTGTGAGTCCAAGCCCTGCGTCAGGCTCTGCTCTGACAGTACAGAGTCTGGGATTCTCTTTTCTTCCCAACCCCCCCTCAAAATACATAAATAAATACACTTAAAAACAAATTAAAAAAAGAACTCAGTGTAGTTACTACTATATGCTGGTAGTAGCTAGTAATTAGCTATCACTCTTCTTAGGTTGACAGAGTAGATTGGACAACCCACCACCACACTAGGGTGGCCTAATGGGCACTGGGGCAGGGCCAGGGACGCTCATACAGCCCGCCAGACACCCAAAACAATGAGAGCAGCACAAGGGTGCGCGGCATTTACAAAGGGCAAGGGACTCAGCGATCTGAGGCCAGCCCTCTGAACACCTCCGCTCTTCCTCGGGCTTACTGAGAACTGCGTAAAAATTAAATGCGCTCTGGGTCTCTGGGCGGCTGAATCAGAATCTGGGGGACATGTGCACAGAGACTCAACGAGCTGTTCTACTACTGCCTGAGAATAAACGGACTGGCCGTGTCTAGCCTCTGACAAGATTTCTTTGCTGGACTTATCAAACACTTAACGTGCCCTCCCCTTGGCCAGCCCTAGAAACGCGAAGACGAGAAACAGCCCTGCCCTGGAACGTACGGGGAAAACAGAAAAGTGGCGGGGTGACGAGAGTGTTTGGCTCTTCAGGGTTTGATGGGAACACTTAGGCGCCTTCTTTGGGCAGGGGTGAGGAGCAGGTGGAGAGGGGTTAGGAAGCATGCCCTGGAAATGCCAACACCAGTAAGTGGGATCTAAGACATTCTGCCGGGCAAGATGCAGGTGTGCCAATGTGGTGTCAGAGGACCGACGGAGGGACCTACCTCGGAGGACGGGGTCGAGGGTTGATCACAGGGCCCCCAAACTCATGCTGCAGCAGGACTGCACCAGACTGTAATTATTTTAATTTTTTTAATGTTTTATTACTTATTTAAAAAAAATTTTTTTTCAACGTTTATTTATTTTTGGGACAGAGAGACAGAGCATGAACGGGGGAGGGGCAGAGAGAGAGGGAGACACAGAATGGGAAACAGGCTCCAGGCTCTGAGCCATCAGCCCAGAGCCCGACGCGGGGCTCGAACCCACGGACCGCGAGATCGTGACCTGGCTGAAGTCGGACGCTTAACCGACTGCGCCACCCAGGCGCCCCATTATTACTTATTTTTATTTTTAAGAGAGAGATAGACAGAGTGCGAGCAGGGGAGGGGCAGAGAGAGAGGGAGGCATAGAATCCCAGGCAGGCTCCAGGCTCCGAGCTGTCGGCACAGAGCCCCATGTGGGGCTTGAACTCATAAGCTGTGAGATCACGACCTGAGCAGAAGTCAGATGTTAACCGACTGAGCCACCCAAGCGCCCCCAGGCACTTTTTTAAAGTGCCCCTGTGACAGCACGGGGAGATTCCCTCTCCAGACATACACCTTGGAGGAGGCTTTCTGGTCACTCACCCGTCAGAGCTCACAGAGCCCACGTTCTTACCAGAGCCAAGGCTGGGCCTCTCGGGGGAAAGCATGACATGTTGGAGACGTGGTTTTGTCACCACAGGCATTTACCGTACTGAGTGTGTGCTAAGACCGAGGAGGACGCCACAGGGCTGCAACAGTCCTAGACCAGAAAGGCCGGTCATCACTGCGAAGAAAAGGGCACAGTAAACACTTTAAACAAGAGTATCTGGTGGCCAACTGAGCAGCACAGCTAAAGCAGATCGGGACAAAGAGGTTATATACTGTTCCTCTAGGTGCAGCGTGACCACGAAACTGTTGGCCAGGGGCCCCCAAGACGGGGCTAGGGGCTCCAGGGAGGAAGAGGGCTCGGGGCAAGCCGGGTGCGAGCCTGGCTACCACTGCGGACAGGCTCCTTCCCTTCCCGCAGTCAGCCTGGCGACCACGACTCATACCCCCTGATGGGGAAAGCTGGTGACATAAGAAGGCAATCTATCTTGGCATCACGGAAGGGCCTCGTTGAGGATGGCAGACGATGCCACAACCTGGAAGCCCTGAAAATTACTGCTGACACGTCAACCTGGAGTAAACGTGCTGTCCGTGCGTTTTACCCCGTCGGCATTTCAAAAACTAACGTGAACAGCAGACGAAAAGGTAGATAGGCAAAAACTGCTGCTTATGTGGTTTAACGGTGCCGTATTTGGGGCGCCCCAGGAACTGCAGCTTCACTGCCAACCCCGTTCCACAAGCAGCCTGGACGCACTGGGGAAACCAGAGCTCTCACAGCCCTTGGCGGCCCCTCCTGCTACTCACACAGAACGGCTTCGTCTTTACTTTCAGAAACGGATCCGCTGCTGATCAAGGTCGTCAACGCCCAAAATATACCAGAGAGACCACGACTCCAAACAAAATACAGTACAAATTTATTGACTCCAATCATTCTTAGTCAAGATTTAAGCAAAGGAAACAGACGATGGAATTGGATACAGAAAAAGCAATGGATTAACATTAGATAGAAATCCTATTTTACCATGAATTTTGAGTTCCAAAAAGCTCATTCCTAAATAAAATCGAACAATGATTTAGTCTGCTAAGGCATCTGACAACAAAATACACGCAATTTGTTTATAACCACATTTGCTTAATAATAAGCATTTATTCAATGGAAAATGTTGAAGTACTGGATTAATGTCAATAAGAAATTATCACCTTTTGAAAATTAACATTAACCGAGGAGAAACTTTGTGGACAATTTGAGAACAGCACTAATAAATGATGAGGGAGTACTCAGTTATTTTCAAGATTTACAGTCAAATGCTTTGGTTCCCAAATGATGGTCTCTGAAAGGAATTTAAGAAACCTGACATTCACCCACGTTTCCTCCTCCAGCAGGTAAGCACGGCTGCTCAGGGTCCCCCAGGCGCGCGGAAGAAGTGCTCGCTAGAGCACACGCAGAGAAGCACCTAGCAAGCCCGTGACAAATTATGGAGACATAAAACTTCTTAAAGTGCTAAAGCCACAAAAGAAAACCCTATGTTTTAAACTTAAAAAAAAAAAAAATAATAAAGCCAGTGTTAAAGAACTTACTGTATTAGCATTATTTAAATAACAATGCTTTTCACACTTATTACAAAAAAACATCAATGAGAATTCAGAAATTGACAAAACGGACTTGTAGGGTTCCAATACGAATTAGTGCAATTTATAAAGAAACCTGTTCTACATGAACTCTATTTTTGTAGTAAGAAAATTCAAATACCTTTACTTCCTAAGGTTCTGGATTCTGGTCATGTACGCGCGCACGCACGCACACACACACACACACACACACGCACAGAGGGAACGAAGGCCAACTTTAGACCAGTGAGTTCTTGTCTGTCCCTCACCCGCAAGGACCGCTGGCCCGTAGAGGAAGATACCCCCTGCCTCCAGGAAAGGGCATCTTCTTCTGGTCCCCCAGCTTCTACCCTCATCAACACCAATGGCTGCTGTGTGTAGATACAATCGCCACTGGTTAGTAAGAGCTGGAGTATATTATTTGTTTGTTTTTAAACATTTACTCATTTTTGAGAGACAGAGTGTGAGCGGGGGAGGGGCAGAGAGAGAGGGAGACACAATCCGAAGCAGGCTCCGGGCTCTGAGCTGTCAGCACAGAGCCCCATGCGGGGCTCGAACCCACGTAAGTAACCGTGAGATCGTGACCTCAGCTGAAGTCAGACGCTCACCTGACTGAGCCACCCAGGCGCCCTTGGAGTCTATTTTTAAAAAGGCGGTGAACGATCCACTCCAAAACAGAAAACCAAGAACCACACACATGTCCCCACAAATGCAAAATGACCTCACGGTTGAACCCTTAGTTGTGTATTTTGATAAAAATAACAAACGCACACTAGCCATGACTGGTTTTAAAGGTGAGTATTCTATTAGGTTGAAATATTAACTACAAAAAACACACACCATTTGTAACCTCCACTGCTTGCTTTGATAAAGAGGTGTTTCAGGCGGCCCCTCCCGCCCTCTCCCACATGAAGAAAATGGTTCAACACAGCAAGTTCTCAGATTAACAAAGAATATATTAAAACATCTTACATTCTTTCCACAACTGCATAAAAAAAGGCATCCTGAATACTTACAAGGAATAATGAGCTTTCTACATCTTCAAAAATTAATTCCAATCAGAAAAAACATTTTCAACACTTTTATGAGCTGGAGATGTAACAAGGAAAGACCCACTGGTCTCACACCAAGTATCTGCCTGCTGTCTGAGATCGACATTCTTAAATGAAGCGATTCACGTGTCTGTCATTACTCTGCTTCCTAACATTGAAAACAGTCACGTGAGAGGAAGCGTAGCTTACTTTCTGACCACCAAAATAAACTCTTTCTGCCTGACGCTTTGAAGGTACAGTATAAAAAGTAATAGAAAAACCAGAACTGCATTAGAAATGTTTTTGGTTCAAAATTTTATTTGAAATCTTACGCTCCTTGCCTAGACAAAAATGGGAACTAACAAGACAAAACACTGGCAATTTTCGAAGTCTAACAGATACGCTGAGCGTGTATTTAGATCAAAAATATTTTTTACTGATTAACATTATCAAAAAATCTTCAAAAATGTAGCATAGAGGTTCAAGTCCTGGGATACTGAATTTACAATGCCAAGATGATGTGTGCCGTGGAACTGTCACACGTACTCTTAACAGCCAGAAGCAGGGACTACTCTGAGGGAAACTGTCCTCTGAAGAAGTGACAGCTACCAAGGTGCTCCGAATAAGAAACGGCACATTACAAGGGGGACTCATTCAGTGAATGACAACCCATCCTGATGTTTCGCGTAAAATCCTAGGCTTTAGTTTTATCTTTCAAATGCATAGGTTTCTTCCAGAAAATATAAAGATGGCAATCGTCGGTAGCTGTGACTTCATTTTATTTGCCTTTCTCCATCAAATTTAACTAAGAACAAAAATAGGAAGCGACCACTCAAAAATACTTTGGGACTTAGGACAGTTTTCAAATGGAAAAGGAAACAGAAAGGCAAAATTTCGTCCGCAATTTCTCTCATCTACAAAGTCCACTACTGTTGTATAAAAATGCTTGTGTATGGATAAAAAGTTAGGCGTGTCTTCCCTCCCGCTGGTCCGGAACATGGGTGACGAGACCGAGGCCAGAAACCTTCTCTGTGGCAGCGGGATGCGGGGAAACACTCAGCAGATTGTTTCTCAGCCACAGTCTCTTTTTTATTTGAAAGAACAGCTTGCAAAAAAAAAATGAATAAACTTGGGAGACTTCATCCATAGCACTACCTGACAAGGATCTCTTTTGTAGTTTCAATAGTATTTCCACTTGTACGTACCTAAGTGCCTGCGAGTGAGACAGTTTTCCCTTTAGAAACACCCACTGAACTCGGGTGGCCCCTCCCAAAAGCCTTTTAATTGCAACTCATACAAAATAGGAAAAAGAAGAAAAAAAAAAAAAAAAGGCAGCCCAAACCCTGTGGGCCTTATTAGGTAGCGGAAACTCATTTTGGACCCTTGATCGCGCTTTCACACAGATCCCTGAGACACTAAAAGCAGTGACTCAGAGCAGAATGATTGCACTGAGGACGTTTGACCACAATAAACTCCAACAAATTCTAACAGAAATCCTCAGGAGACAGAGGCAGGAAACCGAACGCTGCAAATACCGCCGTCGAGGGCGCATGGAGACCGCGGTGTGGGGTTTCCCCAGCTCCCCAGCTCCGGAAGTCGATGCCAACTCCGGGCTCAGGGCCGCTGCGCCGCCCGGACCCCGGGGCCTGGGATCCGCGAGCGTAAATGTGAGTCCCGACCCGATCTGTTACACCAACGAGGTTAAACTCAACATCGGTGAGCGCCTCGTGCCACCTTTGTTTCCTGTCCCAAACGCGCTCGGATTTTCCCTCTGTGGCAGCGGTAAGTCAGAGGACGCCAGATGCTTCGTGTGCCCCGCGTGGTCAGAACGGAAAGCCGGGATGTGCACACGCAGCCCGGAGCGCCAGCGCCAGCTCTGACCACAATGCCTAGCGCCACCTTAGTTTCTGCAAACTTAGAGGCCTTCTAGAAATCCTGTTTTCATTTCCCAAGTCTCCCGTCCTTAATTATATTAAGTGACCCAAGAGCAAGTTTTGTTACTTTATAAAAATCTAAGTATTACTATTGCTGATTTAAATTCCTCACAACTTTCATACAAAAGAATGTCTACGTGACCACAAAATACCAAATATTTATTGTTATCAAGTGTCAGGATAACTTATTACAGTTGAGGCTTATCATTGTTTTATTGCTAAAGTATCCTAAGATCTAAGTCAACACTGCAGACTACTCTCCCCTTCCTCCTGATACGCTGCGGACTCCAGGACATGGCTGAGGCTTAAGCAGAACTTAGGTGTCCGCTATAATCGAAAGAAATACTTAAGTAGTATTTCACGGGCTGCAAATCAGTAAAAAACCAAAACAACCTCCAGTAAAAGAGTATACTGACACCGTGGAATGAGGAACCATGCAAACAACCGGGATCGATCAAAATTTCAACATCGATGAAGTCCAGTCGTCGTGTGACCGACCGTAAGGTCCAGAGCACGACGTAGTTTAGTTTTTCTGAGTAAGGACTTTGCTAATTAATATCGATTTCCCTCGAGCTTCTATTCAAGCGTAACGATTTCCAACCTTTATTATTCCTTCTCTTCAAAAAATATTTTGTTTCTCATGCGCGGCTCACAGTTTGGGTTGAAACCTGGGGACCGCCTCCCCTGCCGTAAGGGGCCGAAGGGGCCGGCCCTTCAGTTGTGGCTTTGTTCGTGACTCCAAAGACTGAAGGCAGTCTTGAATGTCCTGTGGCACAGTTTACACATGAACTGTCTTTTAAATGTGATTGCCGAGAGGGGCGGGGCGTGGTAGAACAGCGTGTCGGATTCCTGGGGCACAAAGAGTTTCTCGGCGGCCGGCGCGGGGTTCTCGGCCACGCCCGTCGGGCTGTCGGGCTCCAGGGGCTGGATCTTGGGCAGCGGCGGGGGCGGGGGCAGCGGGGGCGGGGACGGCGAGTTTGTGGGGACGGGGCAGGCTTCCGGGTCCTTGTGCGCCGGCTCCTCGGCGGCCTGGGACATGTGGGACTGGAAGTGGCTCCAGAGGCGGAAGTTGGTGCGGAAGGCTTTGTTGCAAACGTGGCAGATGAAGGGCTTCACGGAGCACAGCAGCTCCTGGTGCCGCTCCAGCTGCTTGTGCGCCGTGAACGTCTTGCCGCACTTCTCGCACGGCCACAGGCTGCTGTCCTTGCTGGGGCCCGCGTCCTTGGCGGCCGCGCGGGCCTCGGGCGCCTCCTCCTCGGCCTCCTCGGCGGGCTCCTCCTTGACGTGGATTTTCAGCTGCTTCGAAAGGCTGAGGTCCTCGGGGAGGCAGGAAGAATCCTCGGAGTCGAAGTTCACCTGCTCGGAACAGTCGCTGAACGCGGCGTCGTCCTTGGCGGCCACCGCGTGGTTGGCTTTCGGAGGCTCGGCCTGGGCCTGGGGCCTGGAGGCGGCGGTCGCATCGCCGTTGTGGTCCAGGCCGGGCAGGGAGAAGTGCTCGGCCGGCGCCATCGTGTTCTGGTTGTGGACCTCGACCTGGTGCCGCCAGATGCTGAAGGAGGACTTGAAGGTACGCATGCACTCGAGGCACGTCAGCTTCTTGTACTCGCACTTGCCCTCGTGCTCCCGCTTGAGCTCGGGCGAGAAAAACCTAAGGCTGCAGTAGGGGCAAACGGTTGCGTTTCGGCACAGCCGCTCGTGGCTTCCTTGCTCTAGAAGAGAAGAGAGCTTAGCATTACAGAGGCGGCACTGGTAAACCTCCTTGTTCTCTACCGGGCTCTCCAGAGAAACATGCTCCCTGGGCTTAGCAGCTCTAGTGCCGCCTACGGGCTTTTCTCCCGGGTGCATCTTTACGTGCTGCTTGAACTGCGAGAGAAAGCGGTAGGCCTTTCCGCAGTAGGTGCAAACGTACGCTCCTTTGGCTCGGGACCGCAAGTTCCTCTTGATGGCTTGGGCCTGGGAGCTAGTCTGCGCCTGAAAAGCGGGCTTGCCGCGCCTCAGCTTAAAGATCAGGGCCTTCTTAATCTCTCGCTCTCTCACTATGTCAATGAGCTTTCTCTGGAACTTCTCGTCCAGCACGGCGTGCGAGCTAGAGGCCGGCGACGGGTTCCTCACCACGCCGTGCTGCGTCTGGCAGTGCGTCCACACTTTGAAGTTCGTGTGAAAGCGCTTGTGGCAGATGTCGCAAGCATAGGGCTTCTCTGGGTTGTGGTACATGTTAATGTGCCGGTGAAGGCCTGCTGCGGATCTAAAGATCTTAAGGCAATGTTTGCATTTAAACTTTTTGTTTGGTCTCGTTCCCTCCAACTCACCAAATTCCTCTTTATTCAAGTCAGAGTCTGGAAAGTCGGCATCGGGGAGAGGAGGGCTCGAGCCCTCCTCCAAGTTCTGTTCGGACACCGGAGACCCGTGCTCGCCCTCCTTTACCTTCTTAAACGGCAGTCTTCGGTCCGCCTGGAACCTCCTTTTGGCCGGGAGTCTGCTCATGTCTCTTTGGTCGTCTTCGGTCTTCAGGGAGAGGTCTCTCGTGATGGACGACGCGGCCGCCGGGTCTCCCACGGTGACTCGGATGATGTCGGAGGGGTCCGACAGCGGGCTGCGGGGCTCCGTCTTGACGCGCACCTCGGCCACGGCAGGCTCGCCCTCCCTGTCCGTGGACTGAGAGGCGCTGAAGGACCTGAGGCGGTGCGGCTGGGGCGCCGGAGTCCGCTCGTCGAGGGCTGACGCGTCGTCGCACTCTTTCACGGACGGCTTTTGAGACAGAGCACAGAACACGTTGGCGGGCACCTCCCCGGACGCTGCCGAGGGCCCCTGGGAAGACTTCAGGTCCATGGCGGGCGAGTAGACGGGAACCTGGCTGTCCATGGACAGCGAGCGCCTGAGCAGACTCTTCACCAGCGGGCCGCTTCTGTCGATGCCTTGCTTTCCGGAACCAGGGCCGCCGGACGGGACCACCAACCCCAGCTTCGAATAGTACAGCAGGTTCCTGTCTTCGCCCGGGCCGCCTCCTTTGCCGGTTTCCTTCAACACGTAGGGGGTCTCCGACGCGCTTCGAAGAGACAGGACGGGCGGCCGTGGTCTCTTCAAGGCCAGCTCTATGGCTTTTCCTTTGGGCAGCTGGCCGCTCAGACACGGTTTCTCGTCCGTCCCCTCTCTGTCCTGCAGCGGCTTGCCAGGCGGCACCGCGTTGCTCTTCGCCAAGCTGCTTCTGTGAGGGTCGTCCACAGAGCCGGGACGCTCGAGGGACTTCGCGCAGCCCACAGGGCCATCTCTGGGCCAAGTCTTTTCGGCTACTGGCGACGCGTGAGGTGCTTCCGCTGGCTTTGGGACGTGGGGCTTCCCGGTGCCGGTCTTGACCGTGAGGCCGGGGGAGGGCCGCGAGGTGTGGCTCAGGTCGGGCTGATTCTGACCGACAGTTTTGCCTTGTGCTTCGTTTCGGCTTTGACACACGATGACACTTCTCTTCTGAGAACTGCCTTCGTCCTCTTCTATGAATATCTTCTTCCTGCTGGGACACGTTGGAAAGGGTGCCTGAGGCGTTTTCGAGACGATGTTCGTCAGAAAGGAAATCCCGAGGCTGTAGCCCAGCTCTTGGACGGCGGCGAGACTGCTTTTCTCGACAAATAAGGACGAAGAATAAATGTAGTTCAAAACATTATCGAAAGCATCGGGTTCACAAAAATCAAGTTGAAATACGGTCTGGGCCTCGTTCTCCTTATTCGTGAACAGACTCTGAAAATACTCGCTGCTGGCAGCCAAGACATTTTTATGAGCTCGAAACTTCTGGTCCCCGACGATCAGCAGCACGTCACACAGCTGCCCTTTGAGGCGCTCCTCGTTGAGCGCACTGAGGAGGGAGATGGCATGGGCCGGGTTGATGTAATGCAGCAACCCCTCCATCGCGTGGGCTTATCTGAAAGACAAAGCGCAGAATCATCATGAAAAACGTGCCGAAAAGCTCGCCCTGAGACGGAAAGCTCCTCGAGGGCAGGGAACGCTAGCTGTCTTTTCCTAGGGGCCGACACTGAGCAGACCGCAGGCAGACCAAAGCTCTCCCTTAAATGCCACGGGAAACAGAAGCGAACCGGCCTCGTGGCTCCCGGAGACCAGCGATCGCTGAAGCGGAGCAGTTTTAGGACCGAAGACCGTACCCCCGTCGGAAGGCTGCCAGAACTCGGCAGCTACGCAGAAAGGCACCGCTTGAAATTAAAAGTTTGGTACCTAGGGTTCTTCATCCGATGCTTCGTTCTATCCCTTTTACCTCAGAGAGTAAGTATGAAGTTATCAGGACTCCCGAGCCCGTAATTCGGGAAACAAAGTCAGTCTTGCTTTTGGGCATACTTATACACGACGTAAACTGTTAACAACTGGGTCGCAAAGGGGTGGCCTTACCAGACCTTTAAAAATGGGCAAGAATCGGGGCGCCTGGGGGGCTCAGTCGGTTGAGCGTCTGACTTCGGCTCAGGTCATGATCTCACGGTTTGTGGGTTTGAGTCCCGCGTCGGGCTCTGTGCTGACGGCTCCCTCTCTCTGCACCTCTCCCCCTCCTCTCTGTGTCTCCCTCTCTCTCCGCGCCTAACCCACTTGCATTCTGTCTCTCAAAAATAAACAAACATTAAAAAAATTTTTTTAAAAATGGGCAAGAATCTGGGGTGTCTGGGGGGGCTCAGCCGGTTAAGCATCTGACTCTTGATTTCAGCTCAGGTCACGATCCCAGGGTCATGGGATCGGGCCCCACGTCTGGCTCCTTGCCGAGTGTGGAGCCTGCGTAAGATTCCCCCTCTTTCTCCACCCGCCCCTCCCTCATGCGTATGCACGCTCACGCACTCTAAAAAAATTTTAAAAGGCAAGAATCTGTAAAGAGGTAAAAAAGTCACTTACTGATCACTACCGTATCAGTGCTTAACAATGGTTAGAAATGTTAAACAACAGAAGAGCTTGGGTTCTGTCTTATGTTAAACACCCTACCGTCTCCCGAATACAATTTTCTCATCAAATCACATTTTCGACAGCAGCACAGAGGAAACTCTGGCCTGATCTAAACTTCATTATTACTAATTATAAGTTAAAAGGTCTGGATTCAGATCTCTCTGCAACTCTCTAACAACCTAAAGGTGAGACGAGAAAAGGCCTAGCGGCTGGGCGCATGTTCGGGCAGAGACACGGGGTGAGAGGCCACCTCCTTCCTGGCGGTCGGCTAGCCCCTCTGAGCACCAGGTCCTTCACGTGGAACATGGGGGACTGTGCCCTTCTTTAGGGCTGTTGCGAAAGTTACATGAGCTAGCATCTCATACACGGTAACCATTTAATTCAGTGTCAAAGAAAAGGGCCCATATTTGCACCACCCATGCTCTCGATGAAGGGAAAACCATTTCATACGCAGACAACGCAATCAAAGCTGACCCTTCACTTGGGCTTCTGTCACTGTAACACCTCTGTGGTTTGACTGCAGTGTCTTCTGCAAAACAGTTATGATTTACAGATGCTGGCGAGGATGTGGAGAAACGGGAACCCTCCTGCACAGCTGGTGGGAATGCAAACTGGTGCAGCCGCTCTGGAAACAGTGTGGAGGTTCCCCAAAAAATTAAAAATAGAACTGCCCTATGACCCAGCAGTTGCACTGCTAGGAATTGACCCAAGGGATACATACAGGAGTGCTGATGCACAGGGGCACATGTACCCCAATGTTTACTGCAGCACTTTCAACAATAGCCAAATTATGGAAAGAGCCCAAATGTCCATCGTCTGCCGAATGCATAAAGAAGATGTGGTTTATACATACAATGGAATACTACTTGGCAACGAGGAAGAATGAAATCCTGCCGTTTGCAACAATGTGGACGGAACTGGAAGGAATTATGCTGAGTGAAATAAGTCTGTCGGAGAAGGACAGATACCATATGTTTTCACTCACATGTGGATCTTGAGAAACTTAACAGAAGAGCATGGGGGAAGGAAGGGGAAAAAAAATAGTTACAAACAGAGAGGGAGGGAGGGAAACTATGAGACTCTTAAATACAGAGAACAAACTGAGGGTTGATGGGGGCTGGGAGAGGGGGAAATGGGTGATGGGCATTGAGGAGGGCACTTGCGGGGATGAGCACTGGGTGTTGTATGGAAGCCAATCTGACAATAAATTATATTCATAAAGATAAATAAATACGTAAAATAGTATGATTTGGGGCACCTGGGTGGCTCAGTAGGTTAAGCGTCCAACTTCAACTCAGGTCATGATCTCTCCGTCTGTGGGTTCGAGCCCCGTGTCGGGCTCTGTGCTGATAGCTCGGAGCCTGGAGCCTGCTTCGGATTCTGTGTCTCCCTCTCTCTCTGGCCCTCTCTCGCTCGTACTCTGTCTCCCTCTCTCTCAAAAATAAATGAACATTAAAAAAATTTTAAAAAAATAGTTAATGCATTTATTTTTGAATGGATTCAGAGTAACTCGGATTGTTTGTGACCGTTTCATCATTCTGCAGGGGGCAGGTTGTAAGTGTACCAAACCTGGCACGCAGCACACTGCAAGTTCTCCTCTGGTTTCAAAGGATCAGCCTCTGCTGGTCAACCAGCATGGGGGCTCCTCAGAAGAGCCCACAAAGAGTTTGCTGGGCCCCCAACCTGGACTCCGTGAACACAGCATACAACTGCTTTACCACTGTTCTGACTCCCTTATGGTGCTGGCTCAATATAAGTGACTCAGAGACGTGCCTGCTTCCAGAGATGGTGCCTGGTAAGCAGCTTGTCCTCAAACACACGCTTTGGCCAGAGTGTACGGAGTTTCCGTTCATTGCTGCCTTCCAACGTTCTGTATCAACGGCAAATTTTAATTCCTCTATCTGTGACTGCTCAATAGAGACATCTCCCTTCCTCTTTTCTGTTAGCCATTTTAATTTCTTCCCTAATCCTACTGTCATGTCTTAACATCATGCATTTATTTACACAGACCCTTGTCATCTTTCACAAAGGTCAGCAGAAAAAGAAAGAAACTTGTAATGCCACACTTACCAAGTCCGCTATGCAACGAACACGGTCTTTAGCGCTAATAGTTTTTGAGAAACCTAGCTCAGAAAAGCAACAGACGCAGCATTAAAAGCACGGACAAGTACGTTTCAAAAGCGTTTCTTAAAATCAATTTAGTGGTTTGAAACCAGCAATTAAAAAAACACATAAACGACGGGGACAGAGTAGAAAATGTCCGCGTGGCTCAAACACAGGAAGGCTGCGATCTCCTGACACCTGTGTTTGTCTCACGTGCTCACATCCAGAGACGTAAGCATGTGCGATGTGCTCCTTCCCGCGAGTCCGGGCCAAGACAGGGCTCCGGGCTGGTCAGTCTCTGGGGTCGGTTTCCCCCACTGCAAAATAAGGACAACAGCGGTTACCACACCATGCAGTCGTGCGGATTAAAGGAGAAAACGGTGCTGCCATTTACGGAGCACCTACAGCACACTGCAAACTGTGCCAGAGCGCCACAAATCGGTCATTCACTCACTCGACAAAATGTCACTTGAGAAGGTCTGAAGAAGGCAAGGAGCCACGGCAGTCACCGAGGGAAGGGCAGCGCGAGCGGCACAGGGCGCAAGAGGCAGCAGGGCTGGAGCAGGGAGCCTCCGACTGCAGGGCTGGGCGAACCGCAGGCAAACTGAGCTTTGTGCCAGAAGCGAAACAGAGAGTCACTCCAAGATTCTGGGCAGAAAAATGACAATGACTTGAGTTACGTTTCAAAAGGATCCTCCGGCTACATTGTCGGGAAGAGAGCACGGAAGACAGGAAAGGTAGAGGCTGGGAGGCCAGCTGGGAGCCCGCGGCAAGGAGGCAGGGGACAGGTGACCGCAGCCTGGACCAGCTGGCAGCCTGCAGCAGTGACCCAGGGGAGACAGGACGGTGGGGGAGCAGGGTGGTAGCAGGGGAGCCAAGGCAGTTAGTTACTAGGACATCTAATGGATTGACTGTAGAGGGTAAGAAGGCGAGGAATTAAAGAAAGCTCCACGAATCCTAGCAGAACAGCTGGAAGGGTGTCCTTACCGGCGATGAAGTTTGATAGAAAAATTGGCTCGGGTTTTCCAGGAATTGAGTCCGATTTTCCAAACGTGAGCACACACCTGTTGCCGAGTGTGCCTTCTACGGGCGCCCCTTCTCGCTCCTCGTTCCCTACGACCTCCTGTGCTTCCTGGGATCACTTCCCAAGCAAACATCCACTCTGCATTCCCGTCTCAGGGTCTGCTCGTGGGGGAATCCAAACTTAGACACCCAGGGATGAAACCACAGGCACGGGCTGAAGGGCTGGGTGAGGACGAAACCGCGGGAGACTTCCATGTTCCTGGCCGTGCGGCAACTGCGACCCCACACCGTCCGTCCCCCACCACTGCGTGCCACAAACGACGCTGTTCAAACAAGTGTCCTTCTTTTGCTTTTCTCAAGTGATCGTGATCGCTGTTTTTGTTCCAAGTCCCTACTTCTAATCCCTTGAACCACGGGCTCCTATACTCTTTGAGCAAAAACGTTCGGGAATTAGGAAAAGAATAAGTCACTCAGAGTGAGGCCTTAAGAGAAAGAGCCGCTGTCCCCGTAAACTGCTTAAACCATTCATTTGGCTACAGCCGCATTTAGAGCCCCCCACGAGACCACCGGCTCGGAAAGTGGCCGGGCACGCGCAGCCCTGGCACGCAGTGCAGGACGCAGCTGCGGCATCTCCCGTCCCACTGCCCTGAGCGCTAATGGACACCCGCGAGTGGCTCGGATTCGTGTGCCTGCTCTGCCACACATGGCGTCCACGTGGCATCCACATGTTTACGCCTTAACTGCGTACCTACAGCAACCCTGGGAGGTGGGTACTCAGTTATTTTAGAGACAAGGAAGCAGGCCCAGAGGGGCAGTAACTTGGTCCAGGTCACGCGCACAATAAACAGCCGAGCAGGACTCACACCAGGTGACCTGGCTCCAGGGGCCACACTCTTTAACCCCTACGGCGCTCCTGTCGCTAGTTTCCTCCCTTAATTCCCACGCTAACATCTGAGCTGGGCACTGTGCAAACCCCTGTCCTATACAAACGAGGACACGGAGGCACTGAGAAGTCACGCACTGTACCTAAGGTGACTCAGTGAGAAGCAGGGCCAGCTGGGAGTTGGGTCCCAGAGCCTGGACTCCGTCATCACATTACCCGCTTCTCCTAGCCCGGTGCGTGTCCAGGATGTACCGGGCCCGGCTAGACGCGGAGGACGGAGGCCTGAGAAGCGTGGTCCCGTCTGAAAGACTTGTGTGGGACCAGGACAGGTCAGTCCGTCACCACGCATCAGCGTGCTGAGCACCACGCAGGACGGGGGGCGGCGGTCCAGACGCAGTGTAGGTGCAGCCGAGAGGGAGGGCAGGGAAGGCATTCTACAGAACCAGCAGGAGTCAGAAACCTGGGAGGAGTCAGGCAGGATGCGTGAAGGGCATTTCAAGGACAGCAGACAGAGCGCGTGGCTGGAGCACAGGCTGCCCGCAGGGAAAGCGGGTGATGGGGCTGCAGAGGGGAAGGAGGCACGAGGGCCCCGAGGGCTAAACGAAGACCAGTCAAGATCCTAAGAGGAGCTGGATCCCTTCTGTCCTGTCCAGCGGCCCGGGACAAAGCCTTGAGATGTGTGCAGCGCGGGCCCCTCACCTGCCGGCTGAAGACCTTGCTTTTACCTTTGTAATTACTGAAACTCAAGATCGGTGGGCCCTTTCCCGGTCTAGCTGCAAACAATTAACAATTTGGATTTTTGTGTTTTAAGGACAGTAGGTATATTCATTTACACCCTGTTTAACAACGTGACTGAAAATATAAAATGCTCCATTAGGAATGCAGGCAAAAGGGGTGTGGAAATCACAGCTGCTGAATTTCCTGAGATAACCCAGCCAGACCCTTTGTGGCTGGGGGGTGTGCGGACTGAATGTCCAAACCCCTTTGCTTTTTCGGCTCTTCAGCCCTCGTAAGGCCAGCTTTGCTGCTGAAAGGACTGCCTCCTCCACAAATCTGCGGGCTCATCAGACTCCAACCTCTCACGTACGTTTTAATTATGAATGACCAGGACCTCGGACTCCCTGAAGACAGCGCATCACAAATCTGAAAGCTCTTACGTGTAAATGCACACTGCCACCGCGTCCACCCCCACGCCCTTCCCATGGCTTATCTCCACCTGACTCATCGTGAAGAGTTCCTGCTATCACTTTAGTCATAGTGAAAACCTGGCGCTCTTGAAAGGAAAGTGGGTGAAATGTGGACGAAAAGAGCCGTTTATGATGGACGGAAAGAGCTGGGTGGAAATCCCCCAAGGAAAACCAGATTCTGAAATAGGGCTGGCTCGCTTACCACTTGGATCCTCGCACACAAAAATCTTCCCAAACTCTGCCTGAACTGTTCCTATTTCATGCGGTTTCCTGCAATTTCAAAATGAGAATCTTTATGCTTAACAATTCATGGAAGTCCCAGCTCCTGGAAAAGACGTTCAAATCAGGTGGTCTCCAGTCCTGGCTCTGCCACTGATCAGGCATATAACCTGGTAAAGGTCACTTGACCTTCCTGAGTAGTAGCTTCCTTAACCGGTGAAGCGGGGCTAACCCTGCTTACCACGTGGGAGTTTTCTGATCAACAGAAGACACACTATGTTCGCAAGCTCCCACTGTATGTGGTGCTTCTACACGGCAAGCAGGCATTTTACTTCCTTCCTCTCTTCCCTTCCTGAATGTATGTGGTCCCGAGTGTTATAAAGAGTCGCTGGCCTGCTGTCCAATAGCTCACGTTCCCACGGGAGGACAGAGACATACAAAATTAAACAGGGTGAGGGATGCAAACAGTGCTACAAGAACACCGATTTCAGGAAGCACTTAATTTGGCCGGGAGGTGGGAGGGTGGGTGGGCGCACAGTGGGGACATCAGAGAAGACCTGGGACTCACGCTCGACTATCGGAACGGCAAAGGTTCCCTTCTTCCGGTTTTTACTACAGATACTTTTCAGAAACACACATCTGATTGCATCAGGGCTTTAAACCCCTTATGGGGCGGGGAATCCGAGTTCCAACTCCCCAGCATGGCTACAAAGCACTATGCAACTGAACTGCAGAAAATTATTTCATACCAATACCTCAGATTCCCTAGGTACTAAATGCCACGAGAGGCGGGGATTCGTATCTTAATAGAAATTGATCCAATGCAAATAATTTCCTCTTTATACCAATGTTAGCGGAAGGAATTAAGATTGTTAAGGGGATGGAGGGAAGGCAGATGATTTTGGAAGACAGCATTCTTGTGACGGGGACAGAAGACAGCAAAGCACAACAAAGCCCTGGCACAATGGGCACCAGGAGGTGAATGAGGGGCCCAGGAAGGGAGAGGGGAAGGGACCAAGATAGCCCACTGATGTTCACGTTTTGGAGACTAAAACTCAGGCTAGTGTCAGAGCTAAGATACATTACAAATCAAATTCCCTGCTGGACTAGCCCATAAGAGCCTCGGTACCAGTTCTATAGGAAAAGGTCTGTTTACATCCACACCTGAACCGAACTCTGGGCGCACAGTCCCTTGGAGCGTTGGGGACCGCTTCCACAGTCCCAACCATTACAGCAGAGAAGAGAAGAAATGCACGTAACACAAAGCCAACAGTCAGAAGAGCAAAGCGTCTACGCTTGACTCTGGAACATGAGCACACACGTACCACGCAGCCCCAAACCTTCGCTGCTGGATTTAGGCCCGACTCCCACGAGATTTTATTACTCGAAGGAGACCAGAAGTGCTCTCAGTTGGCTGTTATCACTCCCTCAGTGACAAGACAGGTGTCAGAAATCCTCCAAAGCACCTCAGATTGCAGAGCCAGCCTTACTTAATCGGACCCTTCCCGGGCAGGAGTGCCGCTCCCTTGGGGCCCCCGTCACCCTGTTTTCAGTCTCCCGGGGAGGGGCTGGCTCTGGCTGAGGATGTATCAGCACAGCTCTGGCCCGTGCGGGGCACCTCGGTCGGCGAGCAGCCTGTCTGCTTCTGCTTGGGCCTCCTGCTGGAAGAGGCCCGGCCCTGGGTTTGGCTTTGAAGACCACCCCCCGCCCCCCTCGCCCCAGTGAGTGAGTGTGATGTGCTGCTCTGTCCCAGCTCACGGGTAGGCACGCAACCAAAGCCAAGCAGATCAGAAACTTTCTGTCTGGAATACGGGCCTGCGAAAACCAATAAAGGCAGCAAATGAGTGGAGAGGATTTAGCACAGCAGTGACCTAAAAATGCAGTGTGCCAGTGCCCACTATGCCCATTCCAGCCAGTTACCTTCGTTTCCGTACTTCCTGGCCCAATTCTTTAGCTTTTTCTTAAACCTCTGGAGCAATGCTGCATCTTTACAACAAATTCCTTGTTCTACTCAAGCTAGCCTGTCAGTTTCTGTTCTTATTCTTAAAGGACCCGAACTGATACATTTCCAAGTGTTACTCACTCTTCCTGCCGCACTCTCCAAGTCCATCCTTTACAACCCTGCTGCTGCACGGAGCTTCCTAAAACGAAGCTTCAAGCATCCATCAGGCATACACATAGCTAATGCTACTACTGATTTATTTACCGAGCTCTTAGTATGTGCAAGGCGTGTTTAGACATGCCCGAAATATGGGCGCACGAAACAGATGAGGTCTCCGAATTCTAGTGGGGTAAATCAGATAATGAGCAAGGAAACAAATGAAGAAGGTAACTTCAGATTACGCTATAATGTTAGTAAACAGGGGGCCATACCTGGGTGGAGAAACGGGGTTTGGAGAGGGAGTCTAAGAAGTGCCTCGTGTGACATTTTAGCTGAGACCTACAAGTTGGGTGAAAATACGTAATGACAAAAACAATGGTTATCTGTGAAAACACAGAAATTTAAAAACACAGACTCTATAGCTCTGTAAATCTGGTTTCAAACCACTTTTTACATTTTCTTTCCCTTCATTATTCCCGTGTGACAACTTCCTGCTTCAGATGCTGTGTCTCTGAGACAGAACCCGAGTGTCCTGCTTCCTCCACTACCAGATCTGAAATGTCCAAGGCACCCCGTGGAACCTTCCCCCGCATGCGACTCAGCTGAACATTAATCATCTTTCAAAGCTCAGCTCAAGTCCAATCACTCCATTAAGCCTTTGTCATGGGCTGGACTGTGTCCCCCTCTCTGTGCCCCATTACACACTCAAGTCCTAACCCTCAGAACCTCCAAATGCAAGCAGATCTGGAGATACAGTCTTTTTTTTTTTTTTTTTTTTTTTTTTTGAGAGAGACACCACAAGCAGGGGAGGTGGGGGAGGGAGGGAGGGGGGAGAGGGAGGGAGAAGAGGGGAGGGGAATCCCAAGTAGGTTCTGAGCTGCCAGCACAGAGACCCATGCGGGGCTTGAACTCAGGAAATTGTGAGATCATGACCTGAGCAGAAATCAAGACTCAGATGCTCAGACGGCCTCAGGAGAAACCAACGCTGCCCAAACCTCGATCTTGGACTTGTAGGCTCCAGAACTGTGAGGAAATAAATTGCTACTAAGCCCCCCAGTCTGTGGTACTTTGTTTGGCAGCCTTAGCTAAGGAATATACGTTCCTTGACCACTTCGGTTTATGAGCAGATACCTTTCAACTCCTGTATTACAGTCGTACCGTTTACATAACGTTTACTTGGTTTGTCTCCCCATCAGAACGGTAAGCTTATGGAAGGACTAAAAACCTATTTAATAGATCCTGATACCCTTCACAATGGCCAACATAACTCCTTGCACAATAATATTTGTTGATTTTTCTGTACTCTGACAATCCAACTACAGGCGGGAGTGGAAACTGTGCCTTGTATTTGTTTTCCTAAAGTAAAGCCCGTCCCATCACAGCCTTTTAGAATGCTATATAGATTTTCCCGTTGCTTCCTAGATAAAATCCAAACTACACAGACTGGCATACAAGCTTGTTCATGTTCTGGCCATACTTCTTCTTTCCACCCCCCTCTGGACACTCCTTACCACCCACCCTACAAACCTGTGCACCCAATTTTCACCACCTGACACACCTTTCCAAGTTCCCTTGGCCAGCCTTCCCAGAAAGATCTAGCTCAAATGTCACGGTCTCTACAAAGCTCCGGTTGCTGTGCCCGTAGCCCGTGGCCCAGTCCTAACTGAACTGCCACAATACTCCATCCACATCTGTGGTTAACACAACTATTTGGAATGATCTGTGTATCCCTAATGCTCAGCACAGGCCTGGCAAGCATCTCCCGGGTAAAGAGAGAAATCCATCCGTACACTCCAGGTTCAAGTCCCGCACCCACTCACCGTCACTGCTCCAGCATCTGCTAGAGCTTAGCACGTTGGCAGCCCTGCTTCTCGCATGAGCTCTCGGGGCTTGAAGGCCCCCTGGACGAGGACGGCCAAACCCGCATCTCTGCTCAGACCTGCCCTTGGGCCCACGGGGCTCACTGAACACTTACTTCCATCACAGCACAACCCACGTGCCCGGGGCAGTCCTCACGCCGCCCCCCCCCCCCCCTCGCCCCTACCCCACATCTGCTTGTCCTCACACGTTCCTTATTTGGTTAGGTATGCTGACAACCACCAGGTCTCCCAAACCGGAAACCTCTTTCCTCTGCAGCCCATCACCGGGACCTGGCAAACCTCGCCGGTAAACAGCTCTAGAATCAGCTTTGGGGACCACGAGAATCGTCCCTTCAGTCATCCCCCGCTCACCCAGAGACTCCCTGGTTACACATCCCCTGCCATAAACACTGTTAAGGTTCCTGAAGGACTGGGGTTCTATCCTTTCCACTGTTCACCGCACACAACGAAGTGCATGCCACCTTCAAGAGCGTTGAATGAAATGAATGAAACATGACGTTACTTTCACGCAGACCAGTGCTCCCATGTCCACTTTCTTTCTGTTCTTTCACATCTAGGAATACTTAAATTAAACAGTAATGACAATTAGACGTTAGAGGTGGAAGAGGTTATTTACTCCAAGCATCAGAGGGGAGAAGAGCTGCCAATGGAAAATCCAAAACAGATCAACCCGCTTTGTCTTCTTAAACGAGGTGCACAGACCACGATGCGGGCCCCTTACTGATGACTCGGGGTCATCATCATGGCAATCGCTGGACTATGTTGTAATACAGTGAGGCCCTCAGATGCCACAGGGGAGCTCCTGCACTACAAGACCCCAGGAGGCTGTACTACGCGGGGGGTCTGATTAACCTCTGCCCTCATCGACCCCCGTCTGGCAATCCCGAGGGAGAACCAGTCTCTGAAAACACCCCACCTCCAAACGTGCCGCTCAAGTGGCATTCTCCAGAACCACGCAGCCCTGTGAAGGGCTCGTGCCGAGG